GGGTGACAAGCAACCAAGCCTAGTGCCTTGGATGAGGGAGGTAAAAATTCCTCTACACTCTGTTCTAATCAAGCAACATGGAGACCATGCTCAGTCCTGGGAGACCTACTTTAATAAGGACATTAACAAGCAAGATCTCATCCAAAGGAAAGCAACTAGGATAATGACAACACTTGCAATCAGTGGTTGAAGGAAAGAGGGACTTTTAGCCTGAAGGAGAGAAGTTACACAGAAACCATAGCTGTCTTCAAGTATCTGATGAGCTGCCTTATGACAAAGGGTTTGGTTTGTGTTACTCAGCTCCAGAGGGCAGAACCAGGAAAAAGGGTAAAAACTGCAGTGAGGCAACTCTCTGACTCTACGTAATAAAAAACTTCCTAATAATTAGAGCTGTCCAAAAGACTGTCCTAAACTCCCTTCAGTCTTCATATATGCTCTCTTAGTGATTTTATAACTCCCATGGGTTCAATTATTATCTCTATGCAGATGACTCCCAGATTTATATATCTAGCCCTAGTCTTTCTTTTAAGGGTCCAGTCCCATATCTCTACCTAGATGTCACATCTCAAATTCAACACATCCAAAACAGAGCACATTATTTTACCTGATCCTCCCCCATCCTTCCAATCACCCAGATTCACAACCTCAAAATTGTCTTTGACTTCTTCCTTTCCCGTATCTAATCAATGGCCAATCCTTAATAATCCTATCTCCAGAACATCTTTCTCAAAGAGATCCCCCTTTCTACACTCACATAGCTATCACCCTAGTTCAGGTACACATCACTTCTGATGAGCATTTTCACTGGCTGTCCCATGCCTGGACTGCTCTCCCTCCTCATCTCTGCCTCCTGCCTGTCTTCCTTCAAGTCCCAGCTAAAATCTCATCGTCTATGAGAACCCTTTCCCAATCCCCCTAAATTCTAGTGCCTTCCCTCTACTGATTATCTCTAACTTATCATATATATATATATATATTATATACATATATATATATATATAATTAATTATATCTTGACTTTCACGTAATTGTTTGTATTTTGTCTCCCTCATTAGACTGCATTCCGTGAGAGCAAGGGACTGTCTTTTGCCTTTCCTTGTATCCCCAGGACTTAGCACAGTGCCTGGCACATAGTAGGCCTTAAGAAACATTAATTCATTGACTAGATTAACGTCTCCTAATTAGACCCTTAGCTTTCAGCCTCTCCCCTCGCCAATTCATTAACCATGCAGCTGCCAAAGTACTCTTCCTAAAATAGGTCTGACAATGCCATATACCCCACTTCCAACAGCATCATCAGCATTTCCCTACAGTTTCTAAGATAAAAATCAAATTCCTCTCTCTACTTGGAATGTAAAGCCTCTCACAATCTGGCTACAGTTGATATTTGCAGGCTTGCTGCACCAGGATTCCCCTTCACGCCCTCTGTGTTCTGGCCAGACTGGCTCACTTGCCATTCTTCTAACTTCAAATTCCCTCTTGCTCCTCTGACTTTGCACACGCTGCTTCCCTTGCCTGGAAAGCCCTTCCTCCTCACTTCCAAGCTCTTGGAATCCTGAGCTTCCTCCAAAATTCAACTCATTTACCACCTTCTAGGGGAGCATTTTCTGATCTGCCTAGTTGTTAGACTTCTCTCTGTGTCCCCCATATATTGGACAATGTGCTGAAGATGTCTTCAAACAGAGGCTAGGTGGCCATTTGTCTTGCAATCAATTTCCCCAGATCTCGGATTTTCTCCTTTGTGAAAATAAAGGGGGTGGCCTAGAACAGGGGTTCTTAACCTTAAGTCCATGAACCTGTTTTTTAAAAAAATTTTGATAACTATACTTCAGTAATTGGTTTCCTTTTTCAATCCTCTATGTTTTTATATTTTAAAAAAATGATTCTGAGGAGTCCATAGGTTTCACCAAACTAAATGTGAAAGGGATCCATGATAAGGTTAAGAACCTCTAGCCTAGAAGGTTCTCTAAACCCCCATCCAGCTATGAATACTAACAGTTGAAATTTATATAATGCTTGAATATTTTCAAAGCACTGTACACATATTATCTTACTTGACTCCTCAAACAATCTTGTAAAGTAGGTGCTATAATTATCTCCATTTTGCAAATTAGAAAACCAGGGCTGAGAGGTTAAATGTCTTGTCACAGATATCATCTCAGGTAGAAGTCCGACCCAGGTCTTACTGAATCCAACCACTGCTCTATCCATTACACCACACTACTTCTCAGTGAAAAGCCCCAAAGAGGCAGGCAACATGCTAACAGAGGGCTCTGAGGATAAGAGGACAATGCCTCAGTGACATGAAATTCTATGGGCCCAGAGAAAGAATTCGACTTACCCAAAATCACCCAGCCAGTTGGTGACAGAAACAGGGTTGAAAACTCAAGTGTCCTGACATCTGGTTCAGGTCTCTTCCCTATCTCTGCCGCTACCTTTTCCCTCTCCCTTCTATGCCCATACCCTCTAATTTAGAGTCAGGAACCCTGGGTTCAAAGTCTGGCTCTGCTAGTAATGGTAAAGAACTGGAACTAAAGGAGTGCCCCTCAATTGAGAAATGGCTGAATAATTCAGAACATATGAAGGTGATGGAATGATTGTGCTCTTAAAAAAAAAGGTGAAAGGGATGTTGTCAGAGAAATCTAGAAAGATTTGTATAATTTATACAAAGTGCTTTTCAAACTTTAAAGCGCTATATTAAATGCTAACTACAGTCATCTTTATACGTTTTGGTTATCTGTGGATTGGTCATCGATAATTAAATGGGAATTTTTGGAGATCTGTGGTGCGCTGCAGAAAATCATAGATGACTCACATATATAAAGAAAACTTAAAAAACTTTAATAAGTCATAAATGCATAAATACTGCATGTTACCTATTTTATAATTTATTACTGTAAGTACACATACATAAATTTATTATTAACAATAAGATTTTGTTAAAAGTTTCAGTGCGCTAAAGAATTACATGCACTCTTTGGGGATGCCTCCTCTTTGTCCCTCTACCATCTGGAGTCAGTCACATGATTTTCTTCCCCAGTGATCAATGTATCTAGGGCTTTTCCTGGAAAGAATTCTGTGAAGCAGCAACTGCAGCTGCACAGGAGGCTGCAAAGACTATGCACAGTGTGTGAGATACTAATCTCTCTCTAGTAGAAAGCGCAACTTTTTTATGGGTGCAGTGTGTTGTTTTATGTGTTTTTTGTGTTAAATAAATATGGTCAGAATTATTAAAAATAAAGGTTTGGGCTGGGGCACATATGGGCGGCACAGAGACCACCAGGCTTCAAGTCAGGAAGACTCATTTTTCTGGCCTTAAACACTTACTATTTGTGTGATCCTGGGCAAGTCACTTACCCCTGTTTGCCTGTTTCATCACCTGTTAAATGAGCTGGAGAAGGACAAACCACTCCAGGACCTTTGCCAAGAAAACTGCAAATGGGATCACAAAAAGTCGAACATGACTGAAAAATGACTGAACGACAACAAATGGGGCCTGGAGTTATTTGAGGCTTTTCACATTTGCAGGGGTCCTGTGCCCCTAACCCCTACCAAGTGTCAAGGGACAACTGTATTATTACTGCTGTTCTATGAACTGATGCAAAGTGGGCCTAACCAGAACCACAATTTATATAACACCATAATAAAAGACAAACAGCTTAGAAAGACTTTTAAGAACACCATTCACTGCAAAAACCAAGCACAGCTGGAGAGGACTTAACAATGAATCAGACTACCCTCCTTCTCCCAGACAGGTGATGGATTCAGAGCACAGACTGAGACATATTTTTTGGACACGGCCGAAGGGGAAATGTGTTTGGCTTGACTATACATATTAGTTACAAAGGTTTTGTTTTACGCTACCCAACTCCTTTTAATAAATCGTGATAGACTCAGGATGTGGGTTGAAATATATTTTTTGGACATGGCCAATGGGCAAATTAGTTTTTCTTGACTATACATATTTGTTTAAAAAAAAAAAGGTTTCGTTTTATGCTACCTATCTCATGATAGTGAGGTGATAGCCTCATGGTGCAGATTGATACATCTATATTTATACATGCAGTAGTCAAGCAAAACAGATTCCTATACTGGCCATATCTATCTATCTATCTATCTATCTATCTATCTATCTATCTATCTATCTATGTGACTTTTGTTGCTCAGTCGTTCCTCATATATGTGTGTATATATGTATGTATATACACATACAGACAGGCCCCAGTTACCTCATGTGTGTGCACATATGCACACATATATACAGGCCTGAGTTTCCATATGTATGTATGTGTATGTATACATACTAATATACAGGCCTGTTTCCTCATATGGGTGTGTATACATATACATATATGTGTGTATATGCATATATATATAAATACACAGATAGGGCCTCAGTTTCCTCATGTGTGTTTACACATATATACACATGTACGTATATTTGTGTGTATATAAAGAGAGAGCAGGTGACCAATGTGGGACTCTGTTTTGCTTGACTGCACACATCTGTAACAGTTTTGTTTTGTTTTTCTTTTTTCTGGCTTCCTCAATTTGGGGAGGGGGGTGAGGAAAGAGGGAGAGAACGCAGATCTGAAAATAAAATATAATCATTAAAAAAAAAACACAGGTTTTATTTATTTTTCTTTCCTTTTTCATGGGGGTGGTGCAGGAAGAGAAGGTGGGCTTTTGTTCACTGAAAGAAATAAAAGTGGATTTTTGTTGTTTTGTTTTGTTTTAAAACCGGGCTCGGCTCCTTACTCCACTCACTAAGGGAACAACTGGAGAGCTGGGGGGCAGGCTGGGAGCCCGTCGGGTTTAGCCCCGCCAGCCTCGGGGCGTGTGACCTTAGACAAGTCCCTTGCCACCTCCAGGCCTCAGTTTCCCCCCCCCCCACGTCAGGTAGGAGGGGGCAGATCCCGGAGTCCGTTGGCGGATTCCCCGCCCCTCCCCGCTCCCCCTTCCCCGGCCCCTCCCCCGGCGCGGCCTAGCTCCGCACTCACCCGGATCCCCTGCAGCACCCGCACCCGCTCCTCCTCGTCCACCCCGAAGGACACCTTGCGGGGAGTGCTCTCGGTGCTCCCCATCCCCGCCCTCCCGGAACAGAGACCCCCGGGAGGTTCCGGAGGCGAAGGGGAGCAAACGGGAACAAACCGTTTCCTCCACAGGACCCTAGAACCCACTTCGGGACTCCCTGTTCCCTCCGGCTCCCTCAGTCTCCGCAGCAAGCTCCCCGCTAACAAGGCCTCGTCTTATTGGCCGCCGGCGGACGGGCAGCCAATCGCGAAGGGCTTCCCTCGCGAGGCATTCTGGGAATTGTAGTCTTTGTTTCTCGCCCCCACCTTCCAAGGGAGGTGCTGCCCCACGGAGCCTCGCCCCTCTAGGCGCCTAAATCCAAAACCAATCCCCCAAGAGGGCGGGGTCCGCGCAGCCTGCGGGGCGGGGTGTAAGAGAAGAGTGTCGTCCAGTCGGGTGGGCAGCGTCGCTTCTGCACCCGGCCCGTGGTTGTAGATATAATCAATCTCACCCTGGAGACGCAACATGTAGTGCATAGGGCGCAGTCATGGTATCACAGGTTCGGAGCTCAGGTCCAGCTGTGGCCTCTCCAGCTGTGTGCCCTCGGGCATGTCACAGATCTAGAGCTGGGAGGACCTCAGTGTCCACCTACTCCAACTCCGCCACCCCCCCACCCCTTTTACACTGGAGGAATCAGCGACCCAACGACTTGCCTAAGGTCACACGCTTGCTCAAAGTCACCTACATAATCAGCATCAAGATAAAGGTTTTAGCCCAGGTCTTCTGACCCCAGAGCCAGAGCTCTGCCCGTTTCACCGGCCTCTCTGAACTTGTTTATTGATCTCCAAAATAAAGATAATAATGCCTGTTCTGTCTAGAGGATGCTGAAAAGCCAAAATCAGATAAAGTCTGTAAAGTGCTTCATAAACCTTAAAGTGCTCTATCAATGCCAACAATTGTTCCCCTAGAGCCAGAAGAGAACCATGTGCCACTTTCCCTTCACTGGCATTGACAGCCTACCATACACCCTAGCTCCTGCTGACATATAGAAAGTGCTTAATAAATTCTTTTTAACTCACTGGTGCCCTTCCCCTGATAATTTCAAATTTATCCTGCCTGTATTTTGTTTGTGCATAGTTATTTGCATGTCCTCTCCCTCATTTGACTATGAGCGCCTCAAGGGCATGGACTGTCTTTAGGTTTCCTTTGTATCCCCAGCACTTAGCCCCTTAGTGCTTGGCACTTAGTAAGTGCTTTAAAAATGTTTATTGATTGCTTGCACATTGTCTTGTTCAATCTGTCATTGATTTGTACATCTTGTCTTTTTTCGTTTGGTTTTGTTTTGGTTTTGGCCAGGACTGGCAACGTGGTGTAGTGGAGAGAGCACTAACTTTGGAAGTCTCAGCATCTGAATTTAAATCCTAGCTCTGTCATTTATCAACTACTTGTTCCAGGGGATCTTTTCAAGCGATTGCAAAACGTTTTGACCCAGGGAAGGAATGTCACCAGGAGCCTCAAAGTCTATTTGTATGGGGACTTTCCAAAATGATGGAGAATGATTGCTTGATACTCTACTCCCATGAAGGTGGAGTTGGTGAGAACTAGAGATGAGAGATCTCTTCCTCCTGGGCTTCTGGCTTCCAGCTCTGAGAAAGAAGATGTACACTTCCATACTCTCTCCAGATCCCTGAGCAAGAGAGAGACTGAGAAGAAGCCAACATCCAGAGGACCTGGAAATCTCTACCGTGTCCCTATCTTCAGCTTGCAGTAAGAAGACTGGACTGGATGACGTCTAAGGTCTCTTCTAGTTCCAAACCCTACGTCATCTGGGTAGGAAACATCCCATGTGGAAACTCTCTGCACTAATTCAGATCCACAATTTCCTGCAAATTATAGAGTTTCCTAAGGCATTAAGTTAAATACATTTGCTAAGGTAAATTACCCAAGCAGATTAATATAAAACGGAATTGGGACTTGAATCCGGGTCATAGAATTATAGATCTAGAACCAGTAGATGTCTCAGAAAGAATCTAATTCAAATCTCATTTTATAGAAGAGAAAACCGAGGCACAGAGACGTTAAGGGACTTACTTAGGGTCACACAAATAGTAAACATCAATGTCAGGATTTGAAATCAGGTCCTTGGACTCCAGAGCAAGTGTTCTTTCCAAAACCATCCCTCTAGCCATTATACAATACGACCCACAATAACAATAATAATAATAATAACTTGTATATATTTAGTACTTTGGAGTATAGATAGCATTTCCTTTAAAACATACCTGTGGAATACTATTGTGCTATAAGAAATGATGAACAGAATGGTTTCAGAAAAACCTGAGAAGACTTATATGAACTAATGCAAAGTGAAGTGAGCAGAACCAGGAGAACATTGTACATAGCAATAGAAATATTGTAAGGAAGATCAATAGTGAAATACTTAGCTATCTGATCAGTACAATAATCCAAGACAATTCTGAAGGACTAATGATGAAAAAATGCTAACTACCTCCAGAAAGAAAACTGATAGAGTCTGAGTACAGATTGAAGCATAATTTCTTTCTTATTTTCTTTATTTTTCTTGCCATTTTTTTCAACATGGCTAATATAGAAATGTATTTTGCATGATTTCATATGTATAATTGATATCACATTTCTTGCCTTCTGTTATGGCAAAATAAAGAAACCAAATTTCATTCAGACAAATTTCATCCAGACAAAGGCATGCGATTACAGAAACAAATCGAGTCCAAGGCTCTTGGTAGCTAAGGTCCCAGAACCTTGGCTTCTACACAGTTAATATACAATTTGAAGGGAGTGAAAAACAGGATTTAGGGATTAAGAGACATCTGGTTTCTTATTGGTGGAGGGAATCAGGAGATACGGAGGTGAGAGGGTGAGGAGTAGTTCTGTTACATTTCTTAAGTAAAGTGATAGTTGGGAGGGAGAATAAGCTTGTGATTTCTCCAAAATCAGGTGACTTAACATGAAGTTGAGACTTAACTTCACAAAATGATGGATAAAGGGCAAAATGAAGTTACCCATGATAATTTTTTTAATGTAATACTTCTCAATGGATAGGGAGGGAGAGGGGGGAAGGATATAATTTGGGACTCAAAAAAAATTTTAAAACAAATGTTAAAAGTAAGCAAATAAAAATTTGATTTTTAAATGTCTGTTAGATAGTCAGTACACACACTCCAAGAAAGATGAGAAAATTAAAGCTGAAAGTTTAAGAGACTTGCCCAAAATCATGAGGTTAGTACATATCAGAGCTTTCACCTGCTAAGGGGCATATTCATATACTCCACAAGGAGAATCGACCCAACTCCTACACAAAGGCTCACATCGCTTTAAATTCCTTAGGTTGATCAGAGACTTCCTTGGATCAACCCACTACATGTATAACACCACTGTTATCTCAGAATAGTAGAACCCATCCTGCAACAGATCTAGGGTTCCCTCTTGGCCCAAGAAACCAAAATGATCATGGACAGGGTATAGCCATGGATCAGCAAGTATTGGGTATTCATCACTAATTGCCTTCTCATGCTTCATATAAGACCATTTACTTTGTTATGCTGTACTCAATGGCAGAGTTATGGCTAGCTCATTAATGATACCGCACCATCAGCAGTGACAGGTTTAATCCTGCTAGGGTCTACCCCTTTTCTCTTGCCCTGTATCCTAACTTTTTTATTATTTTATCTAGTTTTTATTAAATGCTTTACTAAAAACTTCATAATGAACATCATTACAACTAAGTTTGCTTTGTAACTGTTTATACTTTAATTTTTAATGAATCTAATATTATTACTTTTTAGTCAAGTTCTTCAAATAAATCTCCAATGGAATTGATTGTCCATTCATTCTCATTCATATTTTCTATCGCATGTTGTAATTGGTGTGTACTTTCTTCTTCTGATTCTGCTTTTTTTCTCATTTTTAAATTTAATTTTTTTGTTTTATCATATTTATTTTTAATATATCCTTCCTCATTCCCTTGCCAAGCAAATAATCCCTTATAATAAAGATTTTAAAAGAATGCAAAAAAAATACATTTTAGGAAAATCAACTGAAACGTCACTGATGTTTAACAGAATATGCAATGTTTCACATCCGTATTACCCCACTTCTGCAATAAAGGGATGGAGGAACATTTTCTCTGGTTCTGCTCTTTTTGATTTGTATTATTTCATAGAAAGCTTTCCAGATTTATTGCCAGATTTATTATGTCTTAATTGCTTTATAGTGTTCCATTACACTAATGAAATGCGCTACAATTTATTCAATCATTCCTCTATTGTTCAAGGTTTAGGCTGCTTCCAAGTTTTTTGCAATTACAAATTTAACCATCAGGTGACATTGCCAGCCACTATTTTGTTCCAGTTCAACGAGAAGGATCAGATTCAGGGTGGCCCCTTTTTCGTCCTGAAGATGATGGTATTATACCAAGTTGAGTGGTAGTGTTAGAACTACCAAGTTCATTATGGTTCTCATAGAATGGACAACCTTTTATCTCCAAATTCCATCTCCCTACAAGCAGCAAATTCATTCTATTTCTAGGGCACATGACTTATTGTGGATTTACCCAATCAGAATGAATCAGCTTGCAAGTCTCTATCTCTGGAAAACTGAGCCAGCTGACCTTGGTATGATGCAGCTGGTTCCCATAGTAATGGATAAAACATGCTTACCTGTATACATTACTTCTCTCTAACCACAGCAATAATAAAAGTCATAAGTAATACATAATATAATGTCTACCATATTAGTCAGTCAATAAGCATTTATTGAGTATGTTCCAGGCACTACGTTAAGCACTGGGGGTATAAAGAAAAGGAAAAAAAAAAAAAACCAGTCCCTTCCCTCAAGGAGTTCACATCCTAACAAAGGAAGCAACATGCAAGCAATCATATACAAATAAGTTGTAGACAGAATAAATTAGAAATGATCAACAGAGAGAACTGGCATTAAAGGAGATTGGGAAGATCTTTTTATAGAAGTGGGGATTTTAGCTGGGAATTAGAGGAAGTCAAAGAGGACAGGATGCAGGGATAAGAAGAAAAAACATTCTAGACATGGGGAATAGCCAGCAAAAATGCATGGAGTGAAGAGGAAGAGCCAGTATGGCAGAATAGAGGGAAGAAGTGCAGCTGAGTTCTCCACAACTTCTCCACAAAGATCTAGAAAAGGCACTGAAG